TAATGTCTGTTGGTATGTTATTCCTTTTTCTATCCTTAATTTCTGTTGGTATGTAATTCTTAATGTCTGTTAGAATGTTATTCCTTTTTCCTATCCTTAATTTCTGTTGGTATGTAATTCTAATGTCTGTTGGTATGTTATTCCTTTTTTCTATCCTTAATTTCTGTTGGTATGTAATTCTTAAAATTCTGTTAGTGTGTTATTCCTTTTTCCTATCCTTAATTTCTGTTGGTTTGTGATTCTTAATGTCTGTTGGTATGTTGTTCCTTTTTCCTATCCTTAATTTCGGTTGGTATGTAATTCTTAATGTCTGTTGGTATGGCATTCCTTTTTCCTATCCTTAATTTCTGTTGGTATGTAATTCTTATTGTCTGTTGGTATGTCATTCCTTTTTCCTATCCTCAATTTCTGTTGGTATGTAAATCCTAATGTCTGTTGGTATGTTTTTCCTTTTCCTATCCTTAATTTCTGTTGGTATGTAATTCTTAAAGGTCTGTTGGTATGTTATTCCTTTTTTTCTATCCTTAATTTCTGTTGGTATGCAATTCTTAATGTCTGTTGGTATGATATTCCTATTTTCGATCGGTATGTTTATCCTATTTTCTGTTGGCTTGTTAATCCTATTTTCTGTTGGCATGTTAATCCTATTTTCTGTTGGCATGTTAATCCTATTATCTGTTGGCATGTTAATCCTATTATCTGTTGGCATGTTAATCCTATTATCTGTTGGCATGTTATATTTTCTACTGTTTGTACGTTATTCCTATTTTCTATTCGTATGTTATTCCTGTTTTCTGTTGGCATGTCATTCATGTTTTCTGCTGGGTTTAGGGTATTATGTTAATTCTATTTCCTGTTGGCATGTTGGTCCTATTTTCCAAGTGTTGTGTAATGCACAGCCTAACCCTTCCTCACTGTTTCGCTGTCTCATTTATTGTTCATACGCGTATCTTAGTCTTTCGTATATCCCACTGATTGCTTCGCCTAAACAGGTTCGATCTTTGGAAGAATTACGAAGAGAAATCGGGAAAGGAGGCAACCAAGTGGGTGGTAGAGAGGATGGTCATCACACAAACAACGCACACAGCTGGAGCTATCAATTGAAGTAACATACACAGCTGAAGCTATCAATTGAAGTAACATACACAGCTGAAGCTATCAATTGAATTAACATACACAGCTAAAGCTATCAATTGAAGTATCATACACAGCTGAAGCTATCTGTGTGCAGAGGATAAAACACGCGAGAATGAAACGGGGAATGTCAACGCATTCAAATCGACAGAGGATGCTATTGCACGCGATATCAGGCGTACACGTGGGCATTAACTGATGACAAGACATGTTTGAATAAGTACTCATTTAGTTACCATAGCAACCGAGGAGAAGTGCTTCTGTGGGTTCTTGAAAGTGACGATAGGTGCGATACTATGGGACGAGAGACTGGAGGGGGACGAGAGACTGGAGGGGGACAGAGCGTTTACACGTGCGTGTGGTGTATTGCCGCAGCGTACAATGGCGACGCAAAGTGACAACAGATGGGTACAGATAGACACGTGACGATGACATACACGAGAACGCACCTCTTGAGCAGGGATGCTTGGTGACGACTTTGACGCACGCACGCACATACACACACGCACACACAAAGTGTGCATTGATGGTTCAAGATATAGCATTGAGGTAGTAGAGAACCTAAAATAGAGAGCAGTACTAAGACGGGTCAGAAAGTAAGGTCACGGAGACAGCCATTCAATAGTTACTACGACAGTACCGGGCGGGTTAGGCTGTAGTTAGTCACTGCGGAAGCAGCCAATGAGATCGTATGATGTGTACAGCTCTTGAGGAGCGAGAAGGGGCAAGGACACTTGCGGTTCTGCAGTAGAAGTTACACGGATACCTGTACTTACAGGAGAAGTTACAAGTGCACATGGACTTACAGTAGCTGTTGATGTTTCAACACAAGCGTATAGGTGTATACGTTCAGTAGCGCACATCAATGAAAGTATCATTAAAACGCCTTTGATTTGAGACCATTTAGTTTCATTTGAGGGGCATACTTGTTGCCATTTAGTTGTAATTGAGGGGCATACTTGGGGCCATATAGTTGTAATTGAGGGGCATACTTGAGGCCATTTAGTTGTAATTGACGGGCATACTTGGGGCCATTCAGTTGTAATTGAGGGGCATTACTTGGGGCCATTTAGTTGTAATTGACAGGCATGCTTGCGGCCATTAAGTTTTAATTGAGGGGCATACTTGGGGCCATTCAGTTGTAATTGAGGGGCATTACTTGCGGCCATTTAGTTGTAATTGAGGGGCATACTTGCGAGGGGCACACTTGCGGCCATTTAGTTGCAATTGAGGGGCATACTTGGGGGGGGGGGGGAATTTAATTTTAGTCAGTTGAAGTATTCGTCGGCGTGACCGATTTTACGGACAGGGCGTCGCAACATTTATTTTGTTGCTATGGCATTTGGGTAGGCAGATGGGGTCGAAGTATTACATAGATATTTAGGTATTGAACATAAATTGAGGGGGAGGGGGTTGAAACAGAAATTCAGAGGGGTTTAAAAAAATAAAATGAGGTTTTTAACAAAAATTTAGTTTTGTTTTTTAATAGTTATACCGTTAAATCATGACAGCCCATTCTCAATGTTCAGTCGCTGGCTATTGATATGGCGTACTGATTGCATTTTGGCCGTGGCTGTGGTTTTTCATAGAGGTGGACTAATGAATATTATCCTCCGGTCCTGTTTATACTGGGTTATACTCGGATCTAATCACCCTCATGCCCTCCACATCACTGGTAGTAACCGTATCTAAAGACGAAGCTAGATAAGCAATGACCTTTTGCAAGTATGTGAGTCCTACAACGAGAAGATACTCCTTCTTATAGAGTGGTAAGTTAGGCGATTAAAGGTAGATTTATGTAGGTATGGGACTTGGTTGGATTAGTTCAGAGTAAGACTAGCTACTTTAAAAGGTGTACCTACATAACCCCCCCCCCCCCCAAGTTGTGGGTAGCTTGGGATATCTGAGCCATAGATTAAACGGGATATGAATCGTTTATCAAGTCTAATGCTTTCCTTTTTTGGGGATGATTCTATTTTTTTCTTTCTTCATTTTTTGTATTCTTTGCACCTAACTCTCTAGGACATTCTGGTAATTATATTATAGCAGATCAAACAACAAGTTGAACTTATGGTGAGACAAACGCGTTTGTGTATATACGTTAGTGCCACCACATGGACACATGCACGCGTTATCTAACTATGCGCATTTGTATATTTCTATTTCTATTCGTTGGCCTTGGCGATCTGCTTAATTCCACCTGTGCGATATGCGCCAACGAATGCACAACATTCACAGTGAGAGGCTTCTTGTTATTTGCGGTGTCAATCATTTTACATGATTCATTTATATTTTTGATTTATTAGTTTTTTTGGTTTATAAACATAGACAATTTTCACGTAGTGTCTTCTCTATAGCTCAGTTGGTAGAGCAACCGACTGTAGTGGCTACATCAATCGGTAGGTCCCTGATTCGATTTCGGGTGGGGAGATTTTTTTCCACAACACACTTCAACTGCGTATAGACACAACATACTAGAGTGCGCCTCCCGGGCCATAAACACTCCGGATTCCAACATATATTCTCTGACTTGATTGAACGAAACACTTGGATACACCTTGCAACATACACGCACTCTTGAAGTTCTGCATTCTCTTGACTTTAGTGACATTACCAAATGCCAGCACCTACATCTCCTGCCCAGTATTTAAAAATCCTCTACTGAATGGTATGAGCATTGTAACCCTCCTATCCGCACGTAATTGACCCCGACCAGTGTACAGGATCTTGCGCAACATAGCTCGATATATTTAATTTCCTAACAACCAAATAATTTGTATTGCTAGCCACAAAACCGGTCTATTTATCATATTTGATTTTTATATTAATTGCACAACTCTCTATAGCTCAGTTGGTAGAGCAACCGACTGTAGTGGTTACATTTATCGGTAGGTCCCTGATTCGATTTCGGGTGGGGAGATTTTTTTGCATCGTACTTCAGCTTCCGCCATTACAGCCAAAATGTTGTGGTTGCTACACACTTTTAAATATATGGCTCGCAATAGACCTGAAGCCGAATAACTCATACACGGGTCTCCAATGGCCGACAAACAAGCCGACTATGTTGGCCACATCACACTCCAACTGCGTTCACAACATACTTGTGCGCCTCTCAGGCCACACCCTCTGCAGTCCGGTATGTACTCTCCAACTTATTGAACGAAACGCATGGACACACCTTGCAATAACACACGCACTCTTCAAGTTCTCCATCACCTCCACTTCAGCGACATAGCATGATATAGGCACCTGATGAGCGGATGATGTGGATTGCTTTCTAAGCCCACCGTCTCCCATTCATCGCTATAGGTTTTCATCAGGCTTCACCACATTCTGCCAAACCGCACACTACCGCCTGTCCATTTTAATCGAAACCCTAAACCCTACAACCCTTCCAAATTTAACAACGAAACACTCTTCGGATTTTAGGGTTTTAGAGGTTAGTTGTTCCCAGAATCCTCTGAGCTGTATTTATCTCACGGTGGAACGTTCGCTACCTACTACTGATCGAAACGACTTTCGCTCTTAATCACCTTTCTTGCGACTTTACTACCCTACCCAAAAGATGGAAAAGATAGAAAAAAATGGACATACCGTACACCCTGGAATGCAAAGTGATATATAGACTACTGTATTTTCAACCGATCACAAAATGAAGCGCGCGTATACCTATGAATCATCAATCGCCTACTTGATAATTCCCTAAGAATAAATAGTCAAGCACATAAGTATTGAAATATTGATACTGCTCATCTGAACGATCTTCTTTTCGGTTCACCTGTCCGACTTTACTACCAAACCTATAAAATGGAAGGATAATAACCTATGTATCCTGGATTGGAACTTGTTATATACACTACTTTGTTTGCTCACTGTGCAGCCGACAACAAAATCAAGCTACATGTACACCTACGGACTACCAATCGCCTACCTAGTTATCCCTTAAGGACAAAGAGTCAAACTTAGAAGTATTGGAATATTGATTCACCATATGATGCAGTAAGTTTTATCAAAAATGTGAAGAGTTCATCCTGTCAGCGACAGGTGTCCTTATTTGTTGTGTTGTTTGTTGATATAGTGTCGTTCCTTTTGTATCATACATATATTGACTGGTTACAGTGATGCTTTTATTCTGTCAGGACAAGTGTCCTGCCGTGTTTGTGTTGCTTGTTGTTATGGTGTCGTTCCTTTTGCATTAATTAATTAATTGTTGATCACAATGAACAGTTCATCCTGTCAGGGGCAGGTGTGTTTACGTATGTTGCCGTTTGTTATGTTTTAGCCGTTCCTTTTGTATTAATTAATATTTATTTATTGAATGCAGAGATCATTTCATCCTGTCTTGTTAGTGTTGCGTTTAGTTCTGGTGTCTTTCCATTTGGGTTGTTTGTATTTCTCGATTATAGTGTTGCTTTCATCCTGTCAAGTGCAGGATCCGCGTCTTATTTTTGTTCCTTGTTACTTTAATGTCTTTCTTTTTATATTATATACTTATTTTAATAAAAAAACAGAGACTCTTTTATTCTGTTAGGGATAGATGACATTTTCTTGTTTATTTTCCATGTTACTTCTTTTATTTTTGTATTATGTATTTATTTATTGATTACATTGATGCTATCTTCCTGCTAGGGGCAGGTGTCATATCTTGTTTGTTTTGCCAATTGTTGTGGTGTGGTACCTTTTGTATTATATATTTATTTATTGATTACATTGATGCTATCTTCCTGTCAGGGGCAGGTGTCATGTCTTGTTTGTTTTGTTAATTGATGTGGTGTGATACCCTTTGTATTAGATATTTATTTATTGATTACAGTGATGCTATCTTCCTGTCAGTGGCGGGTGTCCCGTCTTGTCTGTGTTGTGCCTTCTCCTTTTCTGCGGCGAGGTTTGCCTTGTGCTGTGGTGTGAGTTCTCCCAATGGACTGTCTGTGCTGTTATACACAAACGGCACTTGCCCGCCCAGCGACCGCGGAAGGTTGTGGGGTTGGACGTATTTGGGAAGATCCGATCGCTTCACAAACTTGATCTGTGATTAGTTGTATTGATTAGTGAAGTGGGATGATTTTATATGTTATCTTGGAAACGTGATACCGTATGCAATATGTGCCACTAAACACCACAGAGCGTGGGAAACACAATGTGATCACCGACCTGTCGCCAAACAAACAGAAGTGATGCACTCCCTCGCTATCAAAGGAAAGGCTCTCATCTCCCAGACAAATCACCACTTACTACCTACCACCTACCACCTGCCAAGCGTGAAACACGCCATGCACTAATCACGTGTGTTTGCTATAAGAGAGTACGATCTAGACACAAAAGAATAAGCGTATGTGATCTGTCATACAACTATCTCACCTTGGCGGCGGTTCGTGGACTGAGAAAGGCTTTGATAGCGTACCAAACAGCGTTGAACATCCATGGAGTATCTACCAACAGACACGCCCCCAGCCGCTCAGGGTAGTAGTCCGACAGCAGCTTGAATATAGTCTTGGTCAACTGCGTGTGTGTGTATGACGAGGCGTATGGATATGAGCAGGCCCTTAATAGCTGTGCATATACATACATATGACACACAAGACATACAGTTATATATACATACATATGTAACACAACATACAGTCATATATACATACTTATGTAACACAACATACAGTCATATATACATATATATGTAACACAAGACAGACAGTAATATATACATACATATGTAACACAAGACATACAGTAATATATACATACATATGTAACACAAGACATACAGTCATATATACATATATATGTAACACAAGACATGCAGTCATATATATACATACAAATGTAAAAGACATACAGTCATATATACATACAAGTGTAACACAAGGCATACAGTAATATGACCATCAGCAGCAGATACATCGGACATAGCATCGCAGTACAAATATCTACATGTCATTGGTTGCTTACGTACATGTCATTGGTTGCTTACGTACATGTCATTGGTTTCTTACCTACATGTCATTGGTTGCTTACCTTCATGTCATTGCTGGCCATAGTAAAGCCTTTGAAGTCGATGAGTAGTGAGAAGGTTGCCATTTCCGGGGGCGTGGCACGGCAGGCAGTCTCCACCATCAGAATCACCAGGCGAATGTACCGAAGCTCAGTAGCCTCATCTGCAGTACCATTGGGAGGACAAAACAGTACCATTAAGATGACAAAACAGTCCCATTAAGATGACAAAACAGTCCCATTAGGAGGACAAAACAGTCCCAATACGATGACAAAACAGTACCATTGGGAGGACAAAACAGACCCATTGAGATGACAAACCAGACCCATTGAGAAAACCAAACAGACCCATTAATAAAACAAAACAGTCCCATTAAGAAAACAAAACAGACCCATTAAGATGACAAAACAGTCTCGTTGAGAGGATGAAGCAGACCAATTTAGAGGACAATACACGCGGCATGAACGGTGTGAGAGCCCCAACGGGTGTGTTTGTAGGGCACATAATCTGACATATAACAGCGCAGCATGTACGCACGACTGACGGGCGATGAGTAAGAGAAGCGGAAGACAACTGAGCCGAGTGTAGGGCACACAGCGACTTCTGACTGTGGTGTAGTACAACAACTACAGCGCAGGAGACATGGTAGGTATAGTATTCATATGGCAACCCTAGGATGCATGCTGTAGATAAGTACAAGAGGGTTTGAGCATGCGAATTGTCCTGAAGCACCAATAGTCACGTGCTGATAACACACAAGGCAATGGCATTTGGAGACAACCACACAGTCACAGTGAGTGTTCAGCTGTCGAGTGCAGCACAGGCTACCCTAAGGTTTTAGGGTTTATGGTTTAGCAAACCCTAGAAACTAGCACATCTCTTACCAGGGAGTGTCTGTGGCATTTTGGTTATGTTGAGGATCATCAGCGGCCTCCCTTGTTTGTCTTCGCGGTGGAAAAAGATCATTCCCTCGGACAGCTCCTGCTCATACGACACATAAGTACATGGAAAGACTAATGTTTAGGAATCGTCGTACGCCGTCAGGATGACCAGGTTGATGAGTATAGTATATATATATATATATATATATAAATATATACATATAAATATATGTGTATATAGTATATATATATATATATATATATATATATGTATATATATTATGAGTAACTAATAAAGCGCTAGACATTGCCTGCCGTCAGACCCTCTGGTCCCTGACGCAACATCTCCTTTCTCACCATGTATTCCATCATACTAATACACTACACTACTGGATGTTTATACTCTTCTTCTATTGGACTACGCTTACCAAATCAGCTGTAGACATAAACCAATATCATACGACACACAACTATTTCTCCATGCCTCCATCACTCTAAAAAAAACACCCCTCGTACACCCGAACATCAAGCATGCATCAGACACAATTCAGTTCTGCACACGAGCCCCTCAAGCTCACTACTATCTGTGGACCAACCCATATTACCAATATATATATACTATATATATAATATATATATACTATATATACTATATATATATATAT